ACAGAGTAGCGGGCGGGCGGGCCCAAGCGGGGGAGGTTCTGGGCCCGAGAGGGAGAGAGAAACCTAGTCCGGATGGGACCCGGCTCAGGGGCAGAGGTGGAGGCACAGGCAGGATTGGGGCGAGGCACGGACCCCCAGATCCAGTACCTCTCGGCACCACGGCTGGAACGATGCAGGCGACAGTGGGTGGATGTCTGCGGGAGACTTCTTTCCCGGCGCCACCGGGACAGCGGGGAGCGGGCCTCGAGCACTCCAGAGTCCTTGAGTCCCCTGCTGCAGGCCGGGCTGGCACCCTGTGCTGCAGCCACGCGGGGACCCGCATCTAGGGCAGAGTAGCTCCAGTTGCCTCCGGGCGCCTTCAGACGACGCGAGGAAGCTGAGCTGCAGCGCACAGACCTTCTGCTCCGAGCGCGGTGATCCGGGACGCTGCCTCCCGGGATCGAGGACCTGAATGCACGAATGCGCGGACCGTCCGCCCTGTGGGCCAGAGGGCCCGAAACTGGCACGGAGCATGGTGCCTGAACAAGGCCCACGGTCAGAGCATGTTACTGAGGGAAGGAAAGGCTGCACCCACAGGGGTGGGTGGAGAACAAAAAGAAGGTGCGAAAGACGGAGTCCTTCTAATGCCACATATGCATAGCCAGAGCCTGCGATGACCCTAGCATAGACGCTGGGGAAACCTTATTGACCACAGACATCCAGGAGAGGAGGGATGGGAAGAGAGTCCCCAACCCTGACCTACCATCTAACAAAGGGGTCCTGGCAGCAAGAGAGTGACCCAGCCAGGTTTGCCTCCTGCCAGGCTAGAGGAGGCCGGGGCTTCTGGTCTGGACTGAGCAGGTAGACAGACTATCTCAGGACTCCAATGTAGGACCTTGAAGGGACCTTGCTTAGATTGAGGGTCTCTCCAGGAAGAAGCTGTCCCACAGACAAATGTGCTGACCCCAGTGAGTGAGTTTTGGTATATGAGTGTAGCCCAAGACTAGAGAGGAGAATAAGCCCCCTTTGCAGGTACAGGGGAAGAAAAAGATGAGATCACACCTCCACCAGGGTTTAATTCCAACTGAGAGCGCAAGACAGACGGAGTGCTTTCCAAGCAGGGTCCTGGGATCTGCTGGCTGACCATGTCCTGGCATTCTGGGCTAGGCCTACTTGGGGGTCACTTTCTTGGACTTGCTGGGGAAGGAGGTGATCTCCGACTGTTGTAGGGGGGGTACTTTGACACCTTTCTGCTTCAGCTGGTTGTAGTAGTCCGTCCTCTCTGAGATGATCCTCTAGACAAAACATGCAGCACAAGACCTTCCCATCTACCTCCTCGTCTTGGCATTGCACCCACCTGCCCATTCCAAACTGGCTGCATGCAGTGCCACCCTGTCCTCCCCAGAAACACTCTCTGCAGCAGCCACTATTAGTATGAATTTACAACTGACTCTCCACTGGGGAAAAGGGGCCTGAAATAGCTCTGCTTGCCAGCATTTGCTAATTTCTGTGATGTAAATACTCCCACAGCCGCAGAGGTGAAGTCACAGAGCCTGGAGTTGGGAGGAGATGTGCTCCATCTCCTTGGGTTCCTCAGGTCAGCTCACCCCCGAAGCCTGCACTAAATCCCCTTTCACAGCCCTCTCAGAATCATGAGGAGTCCCAGGCTCCTAGACACCTTTGAGGCCATCAGCTATGTCCGTCAAGTCCCTTCTATTCTGTGCAGAGGGAAGGTCGGCCTGCTCCCATTCCCTGGCCTCTTCTGGCACATCACTGCTTCGTGTCAGGCAGTGACAAAGAAACAAAGGCATTCTTGCCGGGCCACTGTCAGTGGAAATACACTCTCTGTCCTGCCCTAACTTCTCTCCTCATCTCACTCCCCCCTCCCTCTTCCCTTCCTGCAAACAACAGTAACAAGGCCCCAGCGACCTCTCCCCACTCTTCTGCCCTGCAGGAGCACCCCTGGCCAGAGCCACCCAACAACCAAGTAAGGGAACCAGCTGCTGAGAAGGTCTTGGTGTATGCTGGAATCACAGGGCAGTGCCATTGGAAAATGGTGGGCCTTCAGAACAGGAGCAGTGGCTAGTGAGAAGGGATCCTATTCCCACAGAGCTGCACCCAGAACAATGTCAGGGGCTTGACTTTCAGAGCTCTGGGTCTCACAATACCTAGGAGGTAGACACACTCTCCCTGTTACAGAGGGAAGCATCTAAGGCTCAGAGAAGGGAATGAGTACCCTGCGGCTTCACCTGTGAGGAGAGTGTGTCTGACCACCCCCTCCAGCCCAATATTCCCACAGTCTGGATTATCCATCCCGCAGCACTGTCCAAGTCCTCTGCTGAAGACTTGACTCCTGGTCAGGAAGGAACTGACAAAGCTGAAGGCTAGTCTGTGCTAGGACTCTGTCTCAGGTGGAAGGCCCACCCAGGAGAGGGGGATCTTCCACCAATGGGGCTGAGCCTGGAACCAGGCTCGTGCTGCAGGAGAATTTCCATGACCCAAGCAGCATTCAGGAGGGCTTGCAGCTACTGCTGCTGAGCACTGAGAAGGCCTCCCTGTTCTGCTGAGAGCAGCCCAGACTCACCAGCTCTGTGCCATGGCCACCCCTTAGGGATGGCCTGGTGCTCTCTGCCTGGGCAGAGAGAAAGGACAGTCCTGGGGTCATGGGAAATGGGTGACACAGCCTGAATGAGAACAGGATCCCCTGAATACAACCCAGACCCCTCACTGTACATTCTCCCACCCCCCAATCCCGCGCTATACACCATGGGCTCTGTCTAGAGTATGACCCTGGGACGAGGAGGCTGCCGGGTACTAGGATGTACCTGCAGGGCTTCCAGGATATCATTGTCGGTGATCTCAGTGGAAAAGGGCTTGGTCCCAGAAATGTTGAATGTGGCCTGGATGATCTTATTTCTTAGTCTTTCAAGCTATGAGCAAAAGGAAGACATCATCAATTGCCTTTGCCAGAGAAAGGCACCTGATTAGATGGCTGTGCCGTGCCCACCTCCTGGTTTATTTAAGTGTTGTTAGCCCCAAGGTATATCTTGCCCTCGATTTTCCTGACTGTAGTGACTGGAAACTAGGGATTATTGAAGTCAGTATGGTCTTCCCGAGAGCAAGAGAGCAGTGGGTCGAAACCCAGACCCACGGTGGCTTAGCACCAGTGCCACAGGCTTCCTACCATACCAACTTTTTTTTAAATTAAAAATTAAAATTAAAACCTGCACATTAGGCCAGCAAGTGGCATAGTGGTTAAGATGCTGGAGAGATCAGCAGATGGTGTAATGGTTTCATCATTGGACTCCCATATGGTTCTAGTCCTGGACCTGGAGGCTTGAAACTTACATTGGGTGCATGTGCATGCATGCCCAAAATCCTGAAAGAATGCAGGAGAAGGGACTGCAGCATGGCCATTCCCCTTAGGGGGTGATTTCTTGCTTTCTGTCTCTCTGGTAAGCACACGCACAGTAGAGGAAAATTCTCAAATAAAAAGATTCTGGATCCCACACGGCCAACTCTATGGTTTGAGTCCTGGGCTCAGAAGCTTAAAAAAAAAAACATTGGGCACTTGTACATGTCCAAAATTCAAAAAGGAGAATAGAGGAGAAGGGATTGTGGTGTGGCCATTCCCCCTGGTGAGTGAGTTCTAACTTTAACCCACTCTCTCTACTCACTCTCTCTCTGGTGAGTACATGCACCATATGGCAAAAATCTAAAAATGAAACAAAAGATAGATTTTTTTAAAGAGTTTTTTGCTACAGGGCATGTGTGCTCACCAGAAAGACAGAGAGACAGAAAGCGAGAAGTCACTCCCCAGGGGGGATGGCCACACCACAATCCCTTCTCCTCCATTCTCCTCTTGGGATCTTGGGCATGCATGCACACGTGCCCAGCATGAGTTTAAGCCACTGGGTCCGGGACTTGAACCGCGGTCGACTACATGGGAGTCCAGTAACATAGCCATTACACCAACTGCTGGTCCTCTGTATATTTATTTTTTAAATCAAGATAGTAACAAAAGCTCTATATGACTCCCAGGCCATTGTCTCTTCCCTAAAGAAGCTTCTGTGAGTAGACTCTCCCTGACCCCTGGGGACACTCCATGAAGTGAATGGGATGGTCCTTTGAGCTCTGTTGCTCTCTTGATTTTGGCATTGATAATAGATTTAGCTGTCTCTCCCTTTCAGTACACCTGGCCCTTCCTCCTCGCCTTAGAGACCAGGAGGTAATTCGTGCTGTGGCCATAAGCATTTAACCAGGCCCCTATAGATAGCCTGTTAGGGTTTCCTAGTCTTTTACTCCCCTAAACTTTCTGTGTGAGCACATGGCCCTAGCCTGCCTTTCCAGTTCCAGAAGTAAGCTAATCACGCCTCTCAGCATACCTCAGAGTAAAGTACTCCAATCTGTACCCCAGAAGTCCTTAGGTTCCCTGAGCTCAGCACCAGCTCCTTGCCCCTCACTGTCCAGACACCCTGACTATACAGAAATGAGAACCAGACCAGAGGGATGTGATGGCCTCAGGGCTCTGAGTACATCTGTGTTGCCTCCTGGACAGGTGCAAGTGGCAGCATGAATACTGTGAGCGAGAGGGGTTCCTCTGTTCTTTCTAGTATTCATCGAGAGCCCATCCTGTGCCAAGTGCCATGCTAATGCTGAAGGTACCCGGGGGCAAGAGGCATGGTGTCTGTCCTAGGGGTGGCTCCCTCTGAGTAGGAGGTTGCAGTCATCAGGGGTTCTAGCCTTCGTGCCCCACACCTCTGTGTGTGTGTGTGTGTGGCGGGGAGTCTCTTCCTTCAGCCATGGCACCATTTCCTGCCAATCCCAATTTTAGCCTCAGAATCTTTCTCAGCGCAGTATTCCAGGCTTGACCAAATCAGTATGAGTTGGCTCACAAAATGAAATCTGCATCTTTGCCAGTCTGGCATCTTTGCTGACTGCTGCTGCACGGTTTTTGTTTTTGTTTTGTTTTGTTTTTAAGAATTATCTTGTTTAATTTTATTTATTCTTTTTTAAAAAAATTTGACCAGAAAGAGACACAGAGAAAGAGAGGTGGAAAGTGAGAAAGTAAGCCACCAGGTCTGGGACTTGAACTGTGGCCAGCCATATGGGAGTTTCTAGTGCCTTACCCACCATGCCACCTGCTGGTCCCCAGAAGCATGGTTTTGTAAAAGGTACCAGGTGTGGGGCCTCAGCACCCTGTCTGAACCAGCCAGAAGAGGCCTGCCCAAACAGGAAAGAGAACGTGGCTGAG